TAACCTAGCCCACGATATAAATTGCAGTGGTGGGCCCTAACAACATTTATGTTTTCCTTAAATAAAGGGGGACATTGCTTGTCCCTGTATTATTAATTTATTACCCTTTCCAAACAAATGATGTTAAGTTGGTGACACCTAGTATAGGTTCAAGTCTTTTGTCTTGGATTTTAGGGGGTATTGCAGTGAGTTGCATTTCATCATTTGGATAATGACATGATTAAGTTGTTTTAAACTTAAACTTTGAATTGTTTCACAATAAGGATAAACAAATGGCCCCATATCAACTGTGCAAAAGATTTCATAGGTAACAAATCAGTGGCACCAAGATCTTTCACCAATTTTCATATCGCCAAAATGATGTGATTTCCCATCTTAGCTTAAGTATTGACTGTTGAGAGTGATATTATATATCTTTTAATATTCTCTTCATCATATCACACACAAACTACATATATATATATATATATATATATATATATATATATATATATATATATATATATAAAAGAGCGCTCATATGTGGTCATGTCATTAAGTGTGGCGGTGTGGTCGTATCTGTGTCGTTGAATCAGTTTAATCTAACGGCAGTGGCTAATTCTGAGGATTTGAGGATTTTTGCACGTGGGGGTGTTATGGTAATTACAGTGGCTATTTATAGCGACCGGGTTCCAGAATACACCAACAGTGTTGACAACATGCACCAATAGTGTAATAAAACACACAACAGTGAAACATACCAATAGTGTATTCCCGAACCTGTATGGTGTATTTATTCATATCTAATATAATGGCGCGTTTTTTGTGATGCGCATCGACCACACGGGAAGGCGTTGCTGCACCTGAACTTGGCACCAATGTGAATCTACAAATACACCAGAGTAAGTCTAATAATGCACCAATTACACAAATAAAACACACAACAATGTGATTTTCCTATTATGGTGCCTTATGACGAGTTTACCCTTGCAGTTCGCTGGCCGGGTAGGAGAATGTGCGCGAAAATACTAGAAAAATCTTGATTAATGTGATTCATTGGATCTATCTAATCTAATGGTCTATAATTGGCTATATGACCACACCTAACAACATGGCCACATGCGATCACCCCTCTCTCTCTCTCTCTCTCTCTCTCTCTCTCTATATATATATATATATATATGTATATATAAGATTATGTGAGAATAGAATAGTAGTTGATACGAGTGTTGAGTGTATAATATATAAACATAAATGTGCAATTCAACTATCAGTTTAAACTCTTTAGTTGAAATGGAGTACATGCTTTAATTACGAGAAATGAGAATAAATCATGTTCAATCATAATAAAAGACGAACGAATGGAGATTTGAACTTTTAAAAAAATGATGGTGACATATATGTAAATAAGTAAAAAATTGAACGAATGGAGATTTGAATGTTTAAAAAAATGATGGTGACATATATGTAAATAAGTAAAAAAATTTAAATGAATAAATCATGGTGTATTTACACAAAACAATGCGGGTTAGGCTTCATGATCTAAGAAAATGTGTGCATATAGCATTCCTGAATTATTTATGTGTATTTAGGTCAAAGTATGTAATACATATTTTGACAACAATAAAGTCAATTTTATCTTTATCAAGTGCATGAATTTTAAATTTTTTTTAAATTTTTGCATATTTAAAAAAAATACCACTATCATTCTTCATTTAAATTTATGCAAATATATATCCCCAAACAATGTTTTTTTTTTCAAAGTAATGTCGATTTTATCAAAGTGATGCGCGCGCGCGCGCGCACACACACACACACACATATATATATATATATATATATATATATATATATATATATATATATATATATATATATATATACAGACACACACAGAGTGAGTTCCTATTAAATTTGCAGCATAATCAACTAATTTATAAGTAGTAAATGAGTACAAAATGTTTTATTATTTTGTTACGAGTTGAATTTATAAAGGAAAAAATTTTCGAATTTTTTAATTATTTCATCTATGTCACTTCATGTGTTATGTTTGGTCAAACAAACTACATATTTTTTCTTTGCTTATTTTTTAAAAATATTTACTTATAATGTGTGAATTCATATTTTAGAATTTAATAGCACTTTTAATGTAATTTTTATAAATATAAATTTTATGTATTAAAATAAATATTATAAAAAATTATATAACTTGCGTCAATCCCCATTAATCAAACCAAATATATAAAATTAGGAAAAGGGTGTAATTTATATATATTAAAAAAATTTATTAAATTTTGCATTATTTGGTATAGTTCAATTAAATTATTTTGTGATAAGATAAATTAATTAATAAATATTTAAAAATTAATGCTTATAGAAAATTACTATAATTAATACAAAATTTGATTGAATATTATTATTTGGAGTTAATTCTATTTTTTGTCCTAGATTTATAAGTGGGAGTCTACTTTATGTCCTTTTTTATCCGAACATCCATTTTTTTGTCTTCCTATTATTGTGGCATGACCATTTTTGTCCTCTATCAACAAAACAAGTTTAAATATCATTAAATACAAAAACATCTTCGTCTTCAATTATGAATTTTTTCAAAAAAAAAAAAAAAAAACATAAAAATATAGCAGGTTAACTTACTTTGCATAAAAAAGATCAAAATGTTTTTGTATTTAAAAATAGTCGTACCACAATAATACTAGGACCAAATAAGAATATTTTAATAGAAAAAAAGACTAAAAGTGAATTGTCACCTATAAATCTTAGACTAAAAGTGAAATTAAGTCTTATTATTTGTTTTATAAGAACAAACTTATAAGAATGTCCTTGTAATTGGTCCCTACCAAGTACCAACCTACATATTAATCAAGACCCTTTATAGATGGTCTATATCATCAACTAAACGTGGGGCCTACCGCAGGAAAACTCAAGATCATGTTACTCCGCAAAATATTGACAATATATGTTAACTGTTATTTATTAGTTTTAAGCAAATGTTTAATATTATATTATTTATTATCATTTAAGTAAATTTTTTAATTGTATATATAGTTCGACTTACATTTTTTTTTTTTAAACTTAGGTGATCTCAGCTTTTCCGAACTAATTCTAAGTCCTAGGACCCGGCCCCTAGAATTAGTGTGGAGATAAATCGCAAATCGCGCAATTAGCTCACTAGTAAGATTCAAGTCTTTATGTGTGCATAAGGAATCCAATCTAGACCTTCCAGCCGCTTCCACTCATGACCTTTAAGTCAAATGACGAACCAGCCCCGGGGACTATATTAATCAATTTTGAGTTTTTATAATATTATTAATAAAATCATACATTCATAGAGTTAATGTTTCTTAAATTAATTGGGGTACAGCCTTTTTGGAAGAATGTTTCTTAAATTAACATACAGCCATGCACAACGCAAATTATATCGTGGACCACAGTATACCATGTGCATTGTGGACCATGGTTCTGATTGTGTATTTTTTTTTATTTATTTTTAGTGAAGTTGATTATGTATATACAATAAACATATTATATATTTTAATATAACAGAGATTATGTGCATTTATTTATAATTAAATGTACATAATCTGTTAATTAAAATATGCATAATAACTTAATATATATATATATATATATATATATATATATATATATATATATATAAAATTTGAACTCTGGACCATAATATAACGATTGCATGCACAAGCCATATTTTTATCTCTTTATACTAAACTAATTAATTTATTATAATATTCGATAAGTTCGAATTATAAAATGGATTATATATTGATGAAAAGATTAGATAAGTTAATTAGGGGACAACCCACTTAAATTGATTGTTGGCTTGGTAAACCAATTATTATTTCATGGACCATGGTCCACACATTTGTGTAAACTATAAGTAAAAAGTATATTTTTAATATATTAAAAGTACATATATTATTTGTATACATAAAATACATTATTTAAAAGTACATGATTTTTTATATATTATCAAATAATTGTATATTCAATGGTACCCGGGTTGGACTTCCATTTGGAAGATTATGAGTTCAAGCCTCAGTGGAGGCGTTATTGGTTCTTTGTGTTTCAGTAGATTGAGAAAGTATATGAACAGATACTACAATGTAATTGAGCCAGTAGCTTTCAAAAAAAAAAAAAGTATATTCAATACACAAATAATGTATTTTTTTTTTGGTGAAATTAATTATTATAACAGAAATTATGTACATTTATTTACAATTGAATGTACATAATCTATTAATTAAAATATGCATAATAACTGAATATATACAATCTGTACTGTTAATTATATTATATATATATAATTTGGACTCTGGTCCATAATATAATGATTGCATGCACAAACCATATTATTATCTCTTTATACTAAACTAATTAATTTATTATAATAATATTCAATAAGTTCGAATTATAAACTGGATTATATATTGATGAAAAGATTATAAAAGTTAATTAGGGGACAACCCAATTAAATTGATTGATGGATTGGTAATCCAATCATTATTTTATGGATCATGGTCTACACATTTGTGTGAACTATAAGTAAAAAGTATATTTTAAATATATTAAAAGTACATTATTTGTATACATAAAATATATTACTTGAAAGTACATGATTTTTTATATATTATCAAATAATGTATCGTCAATACACAAATAATGTATTTTTAGTGTATTAAAAATGTAGATCATGGTCCACGGAGTAATTTTCCCTTGACAATCTCATTCATCTGTGATCTTTTTGAACTGTTTTGTACTTAGGTTAGGAAGTGAGTTTTTTTTACAGAACTTTAAAATATCATATCCCATTTTGGGGAGAGTTCATTTATTCGGAATTATTGGATGATTTTAGTTTATTGATAGTAATTTATTTATTGTACAATCGAACTATGAAAACATAAAGATGGGAAAGGAATTTGCATGATTGACTAACATTGGAAATTGGTACCCATAAAGGAAAAAAATAGCATGGCTGTTTAAGCTATCTATAGTTTCAGAGACAAGTCTAAATCTATTTCTTGCTGAGATTTCGAACTAGAACCGCCGGCGCCGGCGCCGGAGATGTCCATTCTGAACCCGTCTCCGATCCCATCAAACATACCCGTTGCAGTGTTTGGCAATGACGACGACGAAGGCGGCGGTAAACTTGTCCCCGCATGGTAACTCTCCGGCGCCAGCCGCCCTATCGCCGGCTGTTGATCAAACGGCCGTCTGGTCCATGCATTATAGCCGTAGATGGAAGGTGACGGGGAGTGTGAGCCGCCAAAGGGATATGGTGCCCCGAAATAACTCCCGGGTTTCTGGATCATGGAATGAACATGAATCCCAAGGGATCTATTGTATGGCCCATGCAGAGGCAGAGAAGCGGCGCCGGGATGATACCCAAACCCCGTGGCCGCCGCCGCCGATGCCCCGACTCTTTGGCCCCTCTTCGCCATCGTCCGCTCTCGCTTGTGCGCGTTCTGGTGGCCGCCCAGCGCCTGCGAGCTGTAGAATTTCCTCTGACAAAAGTTGCACGAGAAAACGCGGCGATCACCGCCGCTGCCGTCGTTGTTACTCTCCGACGCATCCGACACCGAGTCTTGCGGCGACGTCACCTGAAAACTATCCGCGGCGGCGTCCCGACATCCGAGGCTCAGATCGAGCGAGACCTCATCGTTTTCCTCGTCCGCCTGTTCTCCCTTTTCATTATCATCATCATCCCCTACTAGTGTGTAGCTGTACTCTTCTCTGTGATTATTCTCCATCTCAAAGTTTATACAAGCTCCAAGATTATATTTTTTATTTTTGATGGGATGGGATGAGAAAAAAAGCAGAAGAATATATATAATTGACCGGTTGGGTGATGATGAGGATGAAGAATTGAGATATGAAATTTTGGGTTCAATAGCAAGAAAGGTGAAATGTTAATTGATTGCAAATAAATGCAATTGTGATATGTATGGGAGCAGGAATTACAGATTTACAGTTACAAGTTGCTATTATGGTAAGAAGTAAGAATATTTGAAGAATTTTGATTATTACTATCATGAAAGACAGATGTGCACGTCAACCTTGTATTAATGTGTTCCCACTGCGGGCTGTCCTTCATTCCACAATCCTTGAATTCTGTCTTTTGTTTTTTTAGCCCATTTTTGGGAGTTGTTATGGTTCTTTTTGTGTCCCTGAAATGATGAGAAAAACATAATTATTAATTATAAATTATTAATTATATTAAAGAAACATATTTTGGGTGATTTCTCAGGTCAATATTGTGTAAAAAGTGGGAATAGAAAAATTAAATGTAGTATAACTCTTTAGAAAATACATCAATGCATTCACATACAAAATCACGAAATAGAGACTAATATCTCCACACATATTATTGGTATAAATTTGAACTCCTATCTTTTGAGATTTTTTTTCTTTTTTACTTTTGAATAATTGGCTAAAAATAAACAATTAATAAATAAAGATCGGATAAATTAGAGTTACGTGAACCAAACATTTTATCATTTGATATGATAATAAAATTCTTTTTATGCCCACACAACTAGCTCATTTGATTCCTGGTGATAAATTTTTGGCAATAACGACACATGATTTGTGATTTATGAAATCCCTCTACAATCTTGACGGACCGGGATATGGGAGCCCTTGGGACAAGGAATTTCGCTTTTGTGAAGAAATATAATATAACTTTTTTTATTCCTTAATTATCCTGGATTCACAAACACATGTCCGTGTTAAAAAATGAATCTACTTATATTCTCACATCAAATAGTTAATAATTTTTTTTGTGAAAATTTTTTGTACTTGTAGCATGTCGCATGATCCTATTAATAAAGAACGACAACATTAGCTGACAAATATAATAGTCATGATCAAATATGACACTATTATTTTTATGTTTAGATTAGATGAAGTTGTTATTTAGTCAAAGTTTTGATCGACTCACGTTTGAAAATTTTGAAGGTATATTACTTGACTAAAAAGTTATGGGCATGGTGTGTTAATTAATTAGCTAATTTGAAGATCAAATTGTGATTCTAAAAGGCAAGGAGCAATTATGAATGGAGTAATTAATTGCGTAAATCATGCAACTATACTATACCAGTTACACATTATTATTCAAACTAATTAATTAAGATCAGAATTCCATATTTTGGAGTTTATTTCTTTATTTATTTAATTAATTAATTTGAACTTTCCAGGAACAACTTCATTCACCAATCACGACAAACATTTAATTAATTTAATTAAATCAATTAGGCTCTTTATTTCAAAGGGAAATTATTATTTCCTTACATTTTTCACTCCTAACATCCCTCCTTGAGAGCCAAGCACCTTGTGCTAAGATGACAGGTAGTGACTCTCTCATATGGGAGGTCATGAGATTGAATCTCAGAGGCGGTATTAACTATTTGTGCTTCAACAAGTTTAGAAAGTATAAATGAGAACATGAGATCGAGCTTAAAAACGGTTAGTGGTTACGATTTCTCATATCACCCAAAAAGGGCCACTAAATTTTAAAAGGTTGAATAGTAAAAGCATTTTTAAAAAGATATAATGCATGATTGTTAGTAATTATTAATTATCATTAATTAAGTTCTTAAATAAGATTATAAATTTTGGGGATTTTGACATGTAATGAGAGGCAGTGGGGTCAAGCATTCAAATGAAGTTCACAAGAAGCATGCCATTTGAGTATATTGCCACTTTAATTAGAGTGATGACAACAAGATTTGTAAGTAAACTATAACGAGTCATCAATTATTATTTATTTTTTGAGAAAAAGTCATCAATTATTATTTATCAAATTTCATTATTCTAAGAATTTCCATATTAATATGTATTTCACCTATTCTATATTTAGATGTTATATTCTAGCATTTGAAGAAAATAATAACATTTGAGTATATTGCCACTTTTTTTTTTTTTTTTTTTTTTTTTTGAATACTATAGTATATTGCCACTTTAATTGGATTGATGACAACAAGATTTGTAAGTAATCTACAACCGAGTCATCAATTATTATTATTTATCAAATTTCATTTTACCAAGAATTTCCACATTAATATGTATTTCACTTATATATTTAGATGTTATATTCTAGCATTTGAAGAAAATAATAATTGGAAAACTATCAAAGAGTTTGTAAAGAAATTTGTCAGAGGTCATACTTACAAGATAGAACTACGAACACTTGTAGAATTTAACTTTACTGTCCGGATGGATAGCTCAACTAGTTCTAGAAGTAAAATTTATCACAAAATGCAAGGATCGAATCTCATCAGCACACAGTGTGGGAGCAATCTCTCAAAATGAGGGGTTCCTTCTCGATCTCATTATCTTATATCCCCCTTAATCTTTGTTGTCAGCATGCCCTTAATCTATGACCCCGGGTTCCGAAGGCTAAATCCCAACAAATAAAATTTTCTGTAATTAATATGAAAACAAAATACATTTTGATATTGGTTGAGTCAATCATGATTAGCATGTATATACACATAAAATGTGACAAAAGATCAGAGTAACATTTATGCTTATAAACTACATTTCCATGACTCTCAAAACAAACAAATAAATAAATATAAAAATACTCTTATATCTCATTTTAAATGTTATGACTGCAATTTGAAAATCAAATCAATTATTTTTATTATATTATTTAATTATTTTTGCAAATTTGATATACAATTGTGTGTGTGTGTGTATATATATATATATATATATATATATATATATATATATATATATATATATATATATATATATATATATATATAATGATATATATATATATATAATGTGTGTGTGTTTGTGTGTGTGTGTGTGTGTGTGAAATTGCTCAAATGCGGCCGAACCCTCTCGTGCGGTCGTTTTTGATGAACTATCAAAATAATGCAAAGGGCATTCTTGTATTTTCCTCTAATCTTTCTGTTATAACTGTTAGTTTCCATCAGCTTCCAACTACATGTAATGCTTCTTCTTTTCTCTGTTGTAAGAAGAATCAGAATGCAATGTCAATCGTTTTTTCTCCTTTCTCTCCACTGCTTAGCTAACATTCGTTGAGTCTCAACCATTCCAACATGATATCAGAGTGACATCGTAGCTATGCCGCCGCCGTTGTTATGGATGTCGAAGTCGGCGAGGAAACTTCAACCGGGAACGCGACAACTCCGATCAATCAAACTGCCTCAAATTTGAGCTCCCTTAATCAGATTCTGTTTCATCGAGCGGATGAATTTGCTGATCCATTGTATCTCCACATCACGGGGAATCCAAACCTAATCCTTGTATCACCCCCCCTGTCCGAGTGCAATTACGCTTCATGGAGCAGGTCAATGAAGATCATAATGGGAGTGAAGAATAAATTCGGATTCGTGAACGGGGACATTCCAAATCCAGGCGAGGGAGACATCAAGTATGCTGTCTGGAAAAGATGTAATGATATAGTTTGTTCTTGGATATTGAAGTCTCTGAATTCAATAATAGCATAAAGTGTTCTATACTTTGAGTTTGCAGAAGACATTTGGAAGGCTCTCAAGAAAAGATATTCGCAGGCCGATCCACACAGAATTGTAGAGATTCAGAATGAGATTTATAAGAACATGCAAGGTAATATGTCTATCAACGAATACTTCACTAAATGCAATGCTCTGTGGGAACAATTAAATGCAATGAGACCTATGCATGTATGTGAATGCTTTCCTAGATGTTCCTGTCATATCATGAGTAAGATACAAAAGGGTAAGGAAGATGATTAGGTCATTAGATTTCTGGAAGGGCTAAATGATGAATTTGAAACTATAAAATCTGGAGTGCTTGTTGTGGATCATATTCCAACAATGGAGAAAGTCTTGAATATGGCTTTAAAACTGGAAAGATAGCTTAATGGCTCTACTAGCAATAAGAGCAATGAAAGCGTTCAGTCCAATGCTGTTAAGAACAATTTAAGTCAATGCATAGATGATCAAAACATTGTGGCAGTATCAGCCTCATATAACAAGAAGAAATTTAACACCAATGGGGGAAAGAATGTACCAAAGTGTACCTATTGTAATATGCTTGGCCATACCAAAGAGAAATGCTATAAGAAGCATGGATACCTGGTTGGGTAGTTGGTTACAAGACCAGAAACAAGCAGAGTCAGGATAATCAATAAACAGCAAATGGCTCAGTAAATCAAGTTGGGGATATAGGACTGTCTGCTGACCAGTTCTAGAGGTTGCTATCCTTGTTGCAGAATCAAAACCAAGGACATCAAGCCTCCACTAGTACTGCTGTCACAATGAATAAGTCTGGAATGAAATCAGACTTCAAAAACATGTTAGAAGAATCCAAAGAAAGCAGGTCTATTTCTAACCCTCTTGTTAGTTCTATTCTGAATTTCTCTACTGTCTGGATTCTAGATTCAGGAGCAACAGACCACATTACTTGCGCCTTAGAATACTTTGAAAGATATCACAAAACTCATGAGACATCTGTCAAGCTACCTAATGGAAAATCAGTGGAAGTCACTCATGTAGGGGAGATCAGACTCCATCCTAATTTGCTGTTGGAGAATGTATTATATATCCCATCTTTTACATTCAACATTGTATCCACTAGCAAATTGACAAAACAAGGGAGTTGTAAACTTGTTATGACTACTAAATTATGCAATATTCAGGATTTTTATGGGATAATGAATGTTTTTGCTGAAGAAAAGGTGGACTCTATCTGCTTAAAGATCCTCCTGCAAAAGAGAGAAGCTCAGCAGCTT